GGAATGTTTCAATGAGAATATAGACTGTGTTTTTATGAAAGTTAATGGTTGAACCCGTTTCTGAAATTCAATTACCCAAATTAAATTTTTTTAGCAATGTGAAGAGATATATTTGGGTGTATTGGTTTGCTCAGGTGATAAGTAAAGTTTTGTCCACCCTATTCATTGATGAGTATAAATTCATTCATTTTATTATTACTTTGAAATACGAGCGTTGTAATTTCATTAAAATGATGCTAGCAACAAAAACATCTACCAAACTCGATTTTTCACATAGTTACAATTTGTTTAGGGGATTTCAGGTTAAATAAGTACACCAATACTTTTTTGGGACTTTCCTTTTCTCCATACTTCCATAATATAGGCAGATAAATTCAAATAACCAATGAATAATTGATCCTTCACACTGCTTACACAAAAACAACTGAAACTGATGAACATTAATAGCAGGCTCCGCATTTCGTATATCTGGTGACGTCACGCTCTCTTTTGCTAACCGCTTCTTTGAGGCTATTTCATTTTCGGAATAAAAAAAGGAAAAAAGAACCTATTGAAATTCAAATTTGAAAAATACATATATAATCCTTTATACATGCCTTAATGCCCAAAGAATCTTGGAATTATGAGTCCCGAATTGATCATTATCATAATAAAACAATTGTCATAGCAGTAGGAGTGACTGGGTCATAGAATAAATACACATCATTCTTGGAATCATCTTTTGGTACCTTTTGACAGGTATCTGAAATACAATTGGTGTATGTCCATACAGAACCATATTTAACATTATACTCTAGTACTAGGAAGGATGGGAAACTCATTGATAAAATGAAATATTCACAATTACCATAAATAATTGCGTATAAAAAAATTCCCGCGACGATAATCGTCTCACCCGGAACTGAAAAATGGATAACGAATTTTGTTTTACTTTGATAGGAAATTGAGTAGTTATCATAAATTTGGCACTCATCCTCCACAATGAATTCAGTATTCACTGGGTATTAGACAACATCAGTGTCTCGTCAATACCGTGATACTGTCAAAAATGGAAATATAGCCTTCATGTCAATGTATATATGAATATGGAGAGCGCATCATCAAGTACCTACCAATAGACCAAGGTATCAAAGACAGCATCTTTGCAGACTATGATAGTACCCTTGATCATTAAGCTCACTCAGGTCATCTTATCTGAAGACAGTAGAGGAGAGGTTCTCGGATATACTGAAGAATTCAAACTGAAAAGTCCACTACCTTCTAATTTCCGAGACAAGTATAACAAGATAAGTATAAAGCAAACTCGTATAGAGATGCATCATTTTGAGACTGTTCACGTTGATTTGGTAAAGCATTCGTTGTGTCCACTTACTCTGCTCCAAAGAAATACAGTGATATTGCAACAAGTGGTACATATGGTACCTCTTCTACAGTTTCAAGGACCATATCTGTCAGAGGAGGTGCTACTTTGCAATTATCTATAGTGAGTACCGTTGTTACATACCAAGAAAGAAGCATAGTACTCTCCGATGTATGGTAGTTTCATCTAGGAGCTTCTATTTGTTAATTCTTTTTTAGGATGTACCGTTGCATTTTCATCTATCCCAAATTCCATACTATTAAGATCCACCAACTTCTAATTTCGGGATGAGTATAACAACGAATCAGCCGATTTCGAAAGCAAACTCCTATAAAGATGCATCCTTTTGAAAGTGTCCACGTCAATTTGGTGAAGCACTTCTCGTGTCCACTTACTGTGCTTCAAAGAAGTAGAGTAATATCACAACAGCTGGTACATAAGCAGCAGCAGTTTTGTTTCTCTTTTTCAGTTCCAATGAACAGATCTGTCAGAGCTGGTGCTACCTGCCATGAAGAGTGATCTTTGCAGCAATTACCAGTAAGTACCGTTGTGCCACACCAAGAAAGAAGTATTCTATAGTTTTCTCGGGTGTATGGAAGTTCTATCTTAGAGCTTCTATTTGTTTATTCTATCTTAAGACGTACCGTTGAATTTTTATCTATCCCATATTCCACACCACCAAGATTCAATGAAAATTCTTTTTCATGAAGTATAAATTTCAAGATCATCCAAATAAAATAAATGGATAACCTCATTGTTATTATAATATGATTCAAGGATATCCTAACATAATCAGTAGCACTGATCACATGGCGTAACATAGATAAAAGTAATTGTGGGAATATAGAATAAGGTCCTTCACCTGACATAAAATTAAGTTACATTACGCGAGGTTGTTATGAAAAGGTGTTTAACGTAAACAAAAACAGATGAAACTAATAAAATAACAGATCAGCCACATGTCAGTAATTAACAAAGAACAAGTTACTAACGTAATTCGTATAATAAAATGGATTACTGAAATCTTAGGAGTGTGCCTAACGTATGGTCTCACTGGCATCCTGAATCGGATGATAATAAAAATAGATGGAATTTTATTACGATTCTATTAAAGAATACGACATAATCGTGTGGTCTTTGAGTAAAAATAAAAATTAAATGAAATAACAAATCAGCCATATGTCTTAGTAATTAACGAAGAACAAGTTACAAACGTAATTCGCGTAAAACGGATTACAGAAATATTAGCAGTGTGTCTATCGTATGGTCTCACTTGCATCCTAAATCGAATAATAAAAATAGAAGGAATTTTAATGTTTCTATGAAAGAATACGACATAATCGTGTGGAGTGAGTAAAAATAAAAACTAAGTTAACATTTCTAGTTAAACTCATTCAAACAATTATATTTTGTTTCGAATGCATCATTCATATAAGTTTATAAACTAGAAAAGTAATGTTCCGATTGATCAGAAAAAACATTCAATCTCACGGACTGGATGAATCTTCAGGTATCTTTTGCAGATTTTCCTTCACGAATATACTGATTCTGCTCCAGAAAGTACACAAAATTTCTTTGAGGACGGCCCATATGAGAAACTACCAAGGAACCCAATGCCTAAGATGGTTTCAAAAGTGTAAAACGCATTCAAGAAGTGTCAACATTTGATTACACCGGCTTTGAACAGGAGTCTTCAGAATTCTGATCCTACAGTCACTATTGACAATATACGGTTTGAGAACCGTATTAGTTCCTCTACTTATGAAGTTGCTGATTGGCAAACCAAACAGCTCGAAACTCCCTCAATCACATAATTTCATAGAGAAGGTCAAGGATGTAGGTACTGTTGCGAGATGAAGATTTTAGTATCATTTTTTGATGTATCCCCTGATAAATTAGTGCAGTTATTTTTTGGTTCGTTTCAGTTTCAAAATCTCTTATAGATGGATAGATACACTTAGTTTGTTTTTTCCACACCTGTACATACTTCTTCATCCAATTATTATATAATTTTCCAGATTGCGGAAAAACCCAAAAACACACAATCATTAGTCTAAGAAGAAAACACTTTTTATAAGTATTCGAAGAATTTAAGATAGATAAATAAGATCCCTACTCACTTCTTTAAGACGGAGAGGCTTCAACTCATCTCTCGCTTCCAGAAAACAAAACAAATAATCAATTAGATTGATTTATTGACTCGATAGAAAAATAATACTTCAGGCCTGTTCTATGACCTAAGTCCAGCCTTCCATACTATTGATCATCAGCTACTACTTTTTAAACTCAAGGGTATTGGGATTTGGGGTATCACTCATGATTGGGATGCATTATATCTTCAGAATCACCAACAAACTACATGGCAGAAGGAATGAGGTCGGATACGAAACAAATTGAATTAGGAGTATCACAAGGTTCTACATCGGGGCCTATATTTTTCATTATAATTATAAACGATTTGAGCAGCTTATTATACTATAATGTACGTAGAAGGCACCAATTTCATAATGACTTGCCGGTATATCAAAGAACTTGTATCAACTAGCAACGAAGCTTCTGCACAGCTCAAAAATTACTGTGGTGACAACGGTCTCTCATTGAATGCTACAAAAACGTATTATATACATTTTTTTATAGACAAATGTGGTTAACGATCGCGATCTCTACTTACACGTAGATGAAAAGTCAGTCCAGAGCAGAGATACCGTGAAGTTTCGTGGAGTAGTCCTGGATATGAAGTAGATGTGGATCCTCACATCGCAACAGTGTGTTCAAAATCGAGCAGTGAATGTCAGAAACAGGGTATGAAAATGAGGCTGATTTAATTGGACTGACTCCGTCAATACTGCAACATGGATTGATATTTTGGGGTTTCTCATCTCACCTTGAGAGGGTTTTCATTTCCAAAAAGAAAACCTTTAGAGCTATATTCTAAGCTCACCCCCCGAGACTACTGCAGCGCATTATTGAAGGAACTTGAAGTTTTACCCTAAACCTGAATTTATATGAACCATTCTCAAGGTTATCAACCTGTGAAAGTTCTCCCGATTATATTGGAATCAAATGTTTCAATAAAAAAAAAGTTTGGAAAATTAAGTACACTCAATCAATACCTGTTATAGTGTGAATCAATTTCTAGAAGTCTGATATAAATAAGTGAATTTTCATTTTTTATTTTGTAATGTTTTTATAATTTTAGATAAAACTCTAATTGTTACATGTGATCGTTTGAGTTGAATTTTCCGTAACTAGTTTTAGTTTTTTGACAAGTCAGACACAGTTCATACAGGGTGTCCATTCTTGATATTATCTGTATACATTTTGTAGACGAAGTAGAAATTCTAAAATGGTTTCCTGTGTTCTACTGCACAATCTATTATTATTATTATCATTCTACTTCAAGGCATTGGCCTCCTGCTGAAACAAACTGTGAAATAAGTCGCGAAGTATCGCCTCTGGACCCACCAACAACAACATTCGTGCAAAACCAAACCCGCGTATTGTTGAGAAACAAAAGAAAACGCCGCGCTCACTTTGCGAAACGACCATTTACCTTGAAAGGAAAAACGAAAGCAATTCGAACGAAGAAATCAAATCGGCTATGCCTCTTAACGCTAAACAGGCCATTGTCGAAACTTACGCAAATCGAACTAAATCCTAGAAGTAACTGGAAACGTCTTCGAATCGTCACCGACAGGCCGATGTTTCTGTTGTACTTTTTTGTTTTTCGATGACGGAACTACATTGCAGAAGCACGAGGTTTTTCGAGAAGGCGAACAACTGCCTGCGCGCACAGCCGCGATGCTCGATTGAGACTGAAACGATGCCGCGACTCCTGCTGGCTGCAGGAAAGAAAAGAGTAGACAGGAAAGTTAGATTCTCGCTGGACATAGCCGTGTGGCCGAAGAAGACTATTAGTCCAGTTCCCAAGTGCCATTTTATCGAAAATCTGTCTCCAAGTTCGAAAATCATGATCGAGGTGTAATATCGGAGAGACCTCTTGAAAATGTTTTGAAACTTTTGAAGAAAATCACGCAAAAATTACAAAAATTACATATCACTAATTATAGGGGAATTTCCATAATATGCGCACCGGCAAAATGGGCATGCTATGGAAAATGATACTGGCAAAGACTGATCGAGTTAGGGGTATATTATACGTATCAAGCCTAATCGGTCTCAAGATCTCTTTATATTTGCAGAAAAAAGAACAATTCGAAAAGCAAGAATTTAAATTGGCCGCGTGTCTGTTCACCAATAAAATTTGATCGTGTCTAGAGCGGAGTTGCCAAGTGTATTGGTTTTTAATATCCAATCACAGATCTGATGATGCAATTTGACAGATGCCATTTTTGTTATTGTTGTTGACTCGGTGTGAATACAACTGTTACAATTATCTAATTAAAGAAGGTTTTTTTTATAAAAGGTAGGTCTCGGCGGGTGCCTATTTTGCTGCATATTCCGTGGCATTAGTTTACATTCCGAAAAATATTTTTTCAGGTTATTTTTGGATTGAATTTTAGCATTACTACCACCAAAAAGGTTAAAATATGTTTTATACCTAGTTGTAAAAACAGATCATCCATACCAGACAAAAAGTTTTTCAGTGTTCCAAAAAACGAAACTCTAAGAGATCTATGGTTTTCTTCAGTTGGCCGAGCTAAAATAAAAATTAAATCAAAACATTCCATCCTTTGATAAAAGACAAAGTCTGAAATGAATGTCATACAAATAAAAGGGACCTACTAAATATACCACCTACCGTTTCAATTTTTCATTCTTCATTTCGGTACCAAAGTATTGCAAATTTTTCAAGTAAAATTCATTGATCATTTCAAAATCAACTTTTGGTAAGTTGTCGGAGTCAGATTTAACAAAACTAGGCTCAACATTCATTTTGAAATTATTTTGACGAAAACACGAAGTTATGTGTGGAAACCATTGACATTAGAAAGAGCACATTGTCGCATACACTACAGAGGGCGCTGGCTGACTGAATGACAATATGGTTAATATACCAGTAACATTGAATTTTTCATTTTTGGTGGGTGGCATGAATGCATAATTGATTTATTTTATTAGGGTTCATGAGCATTCGAAAACCATTTGAAAATACAGCTCGTTAAATTCTATCTAGAATCATATTTAGATATAACTTGTACTATATCAATTATCAAGGCAAAAATTATTGTCCATCTTTTTGTTTAATTCGTGGATTCGAGCGATCTTATTATTGAATATTTATTTGTTTGTTGGCTTTAAAGAAATGAATGAATAATTACAGAAAATTTCAATTGATCATTCATTTTCTCAGGAAAATAGAGTACCCATAACACAATTTATTGGTTTATTAATGTATGTCATATCGGATCTATTCTTCTTGTTTTTGCAACATTGAGTTTTAATTTTTTCTTAGCTGACAGTTCGAGTAGGAACAATTCGTTTTTTCATCGAGTTTAGTTTGTATGTGTTTTAAAAGTTTTTAAAAGAGATATATTTGAATATTAATATGGTTCATTCTTGTGCTGATTTCAATTGTGTGGAAAGGCACAAGAAAACAGAAAGCGCATTGGTTTTAATAGGTGAGTTATTTCATATAATAAGTTTAGGTTCCCAAAAGATAAAATGATGACAAAAAATGGGTGAAAAATTAATATTTTTGCAAAAAATTCAAATGCTTTTCATTTTACTTCACTAATGTTTATCATATGGTTAATGGTATTACCTCAGAAGCTTTTGTTGGGTCAGTTCGATTATAATCAATTTTGTCTATACTTGACCTCATTCAACCTTCCTCTCAAATTTTGGAAGATTCAACAGATTACCCAAGCGAGCCTATAACGCTTGAATTTAGTAGCAATATTAGAAACAGGTATGTATATAGGAATCGTCTTTTTTTAATAATTTGCAGTTGTACAGATTGAATATTGTAGAATAAATTGAATATTTGATTCTTCAATCCAGTTTGCTATATTTTTTGATTTTCATAACTGCTTATTATTAAATAATGCATAAAATCATAGTTTAGGTAAATATTTTGTGATCTTTCGACTTTGTATACTGATTTTAGGTATAGAACTTATTTCCAAACATGATTTTTCATGTACATTTTATTCCATGTGGAAAATTTTATTTAATTGAAACGTTAACGGGTTCATATACACTTCCATAATTGAATTGATATTTATAGGCTTCGTAAATTTTACGATTTGGCAATGTTGATTATTTATATTGTTCCTATTGGTCAATAGAAATTTGAATAGAAATTCTATCAAGTGAACTATAAACCAAAAATCATGAAACAAACAAGCCCATTGTTTGAGCAAATCCTATATAACAAAATTTATTTTCATGCTCAAAATACTATTGATGAGTGGCAACATGGTTTTGTTAAAGAAAAATTTATAAATACAAATTTATTCCTATTCACCAATGATGTTTACAAAACTTTTGAGAATGAACAGCAACTTGATACGATTTATACAGATTTCTCGAAAGCTTTCGATAAAGTTGATCATGACATATTGCTTTTAAAAGTCAACAAATTTGGTATCAACCATGGTTCAATCAATAATTATCTCCAGAATCGTAATTTTGTAGTCAGATATAATGGTATTTACTCTGATCCCTTTGAAATCAACTCGGGTGTCCTACAGGGATCAAACTGCTGCTTTGCTGTTTGTTTTATATATCAATGATCTAACATAATGTTTACATTTTTCTAAAGGGCTCCATTTTGCAGATGATTTCAAATGCTTGTCAGAGATTGTGTTGCACTTCAAAAAGACATTGATAGAATATAATTGGACTATAGAAAATAAATTATACTTTAATATTGATAAATGTAATGTTGTTACCTTTTCTTTGCGAAAAAAATCCATTCGATTTAGTTACAAAAATGGAGAGTTTCCTCAACAGAAAAAATGAAGTGAAAGATCTTGGAATTTAAATTTGTAAAAGGGCTAACAAAATTTTGGGATTTATTATAAGATCTAGCTATTCGTTTGTGAACGTATTCACGATAAAACATCTTTATATCACACTTATAAGGCCAATATTAGAATTTGGTTCGCTCATTTGGAAAAAATACAAAATAGGTTACTCAGATATCTATACTATAAAAAAACATTGTTGGCCGGATTACACACAAGTAAGATCAATGAATTTGAGGCAGCATTTCAAAATATCATCTCTATGAATTGAAGGGGTTATATTTTTAGGAGTGATTAATTTTTTTTTGGGAAAGTTTTTGGCTTTCTACTACTCCATCTGATACAAAAAAAAAGGGATGAGAGAATCTTCCAAAGAAAGGAAGGAAGAAATCAATTTTTTTTTTTGTATCAGATGGAGTAGTAGAAAGCCAAAAACTTTCTTTCCCAAAAAAATCATCTCTATATATTAGTCGAGATGCAACACAAAAAAATGTTTTTATAAAAGGTAATAAACAACAATATTACAGATATAAACAAACTCGAACTCATTGATTTTAATGTTCCTCAGTATCCTACAAGAAGTCCAATCCTTTTTATACTACCCAAGACAAGTAAGAAGATAACCTCTCTCAACCATGCTTCGTAAAGCAAATGAAATTAATGTTTTAAAAAATTTAGATTTCAGTTATTCCTTCTCAGGTTCCAGATATGATGTTACTAATTATTTATTACAAATATAACTGTGATCGTAGAGAATAAGTTTGAAAATAAATCTTTCAGTGTATATGTGTAGAAGTAAACTCACACAATTAATTTTTTATAAGAATTTCCATGTAATTAGGCTGTTAAGTCTGGAAAATAAAATAAAATGTTATCATTTTCATAATGAAATGGTATGGTATGAGGAATAAGATACATATGTTTTCGAATGAAAAATAGAAAGATATCTAGAGAAAACTGCATTGATTGTTGTTCCATGTCTTGTGGTAGAGGTTGTTTTCGGTTATTATTGATTTGTAGTTCTGATTCATCTTGTAGAAAGTTTACCAAGAGCTGTTTATCTTCGGACGCGAATTTAACATTGAAATCTGCGGCTAACGTATGATAGTTTTCTCCTAATTCTTCAGAACCTACTTGACCGTAAATGTGTGGTCGTACCTCTCTCTCTCTCTCTCTTTCTCTCTCTCTCTTGATCCTATAGTAATACACAAAACGTAGTTATTTACCAAATCAAACGCGCGTGAAGAAGCTTAAACAATTTCAGAAACTATCTGAGCGATTTGCAATTTAAAAAAATGCTCAGAGCAAGAAATTTACTGAAAACAGTCCCACTTCACCTCCGGAATGCTTTAACTAATAAGTTAAATTATTTTTAAATGAACTTAAAACAATAACGAATATGTTCTTCAAAAGCGTGTTTTATATTTTTTTAAACTATATTTATTTTTCATTTTTTAGTTTCGTTTGCTATAAAAGCGTGTTTTTCAGTATTTTTAAACTATATTTATTTCATCTAAACTTTGGGATCAATCAGACGTATTGTTTGTTGGTTGCTTGGTTTGTTGGTTGGTTGGTTGGTTGGTAAGTGATAAACTTCTACATCACTCAACCGATCGAGATGAAACTTGACATGTATAAGTAATCTTTCATAGAGAAGGTTTTTAGGCTATACATTTTTCTGTAACTCGCCACTAGATGGCACTGTAGAACAATTTTTTTTGAAAGCACTGTTCTGTAACGCTGCGCACGCCTAAGTTCGTTGATTCTGATTCTGTCACAGCAGCGACTCAGCAACGTAGTACTAGTTGTTTATAAAAATGACCATTGATATTTTACGATTCCGGAGACGGAGTCTGAAAATCAGCTTCCAAGCCCAAGGCAGTAGGCGCGCAAAGGAGGGTT